AATTTTATCCACTATACACTTTCGGTAATTATGATGAAAAAAATCAGATTTTTCAGGAATTTAAATTTTTTTAATAAAGTATTTACTAATTTTGATTAAGGACTTTCCTTGAAAAAAAAAATATACACTTACCTTACAGAATGTTTGAAAACTTTAATTTTTAATTGGTTGGTTTTTTCCCAATAAAAAGCATGCTTATTGCAAACTCTTTCATTGAGTTTTGCAAATACATATGTCAATATACTGAAACGAATAAATAAATTCACGTAAGTAGTTATTATAGAAAATTTATTTAATTATAATTTTGTGTGGAAAAATTATTTTTTGATCTATTAAAATAAAGCATTTCCAGAATCGTGACAATAATAAGTGACAATTTTTTTAAACAATTCTACAGACATCAATATAAATACTCTAACATTTCTACAAATTCTCAATAAGTAAATAAATAAAAAGAAAAAATTAGTTTGATTTTTAATGCTCATATTTAATCGCATATAAACTACTTCGAATTAAATGTGTCCGATAAAAAAAATCTACTTTTTCTTTTCTACTCAAATAATTCACAAAGCAATCACAAAGTGAAGGAGATACAATAAGAGAAACGCTTTGGAAAAACATTGAATTCTAGCAACTCATTAATGTTATGAGTAATGAATTCTGTGCAAACAAAGGTCAAGACACTGCGTTCTCCAGATCGCAAATTAAGGAGCCTGCTGCATGTTAATTAACATACGTATTGTTGACCACAACTCTCCAACTCCGCCCTCTAGACAGAATTGGAATGAGGGTCAGTTGAAATGGTTGAACCCGCACCGTGTCAATTGTCGTGCGTCAGCATAATGCTCATACTGCATTTGATTTTAACTTGGCTGTAAATGTAGAACTGTCATTAATGCTGAATATACTCCCCATAATATACTCCTCATTCAAATTCTGCCTCATGTACCAAATCGTTGAACTAGAACAGGAAGGGAGGAATCAAAACTTGATTGACAAAGATAAACTACTTTTCATGACTATTTCGATTAATTTAGCTAATAGATTAATTAATCGATAAACTATCATTAACGAAGGTAATAAATGTCCAGTTGAAAATGACGAATGGCTTTTTATTTAAAAAATAGCTCTTGGCCATTTAAAGTATTCATAATATAAATATAAAATACCTCTCAGACGACGAACATTTTAGATGTTTAAACAATAATGGAAATTAATATTTTACTATTAAATTTGCATTAAAACTCATGAATATTAAAAAGGAAAACTAGTCTGAAGAGAGCATTTTGAGGGATATAAATTAATGCATCACCAGTAAATGATTTGCAAATCTTGAATAAATCCAAATTATCAAATTTCTCCCTGCGTTATTTCTTATTTTAGACTGTTTGAATGAGCAAATAGTTCAATTATGAAGAGAGATTTCTGAGATTTCTTTCTGCAAAATGATTTCCGTGCATTTATAATTACTTCTGTTGGCAGCAATTTGTCAAAACGCAGTCCGATCCGATATCCTTTCTAATTAAACAATGATATTTATAGATTGGCATTTAATACCATTAGTCATATCTTGTAAATACAGCATTGTCTTTAGTAACCTCCACCGTTGGTAATATTATTAGCCGATATCGAAATGAATACTTAACAAAAGATCACTATTTAAGGTATCCGACTGGTTGCGACAACTTTTTTTTCTCAAAAAAATGGAGATATGTGGATTGTTTTTAGATTTTTTTAGTACATTTAAAGAAAAATATGCTAAAATTAGGAAGAGAAAAATAAATTATAACTAAAATGGGAAAAAATGGGTAAAAATTGACAAAAAATAACATAAACGCGGTCCATTCTGTACCAAAGGTTTATGAACAAATTTTCAATTTTTCTATCCTGATGTGTTGCTATGTTATTCATTATTGAAATGACCTTCAGGATAAGAGATACTTTAATTTTTACAAAAGCTAGAGCACTTTATCTCAGTTACTATATGAAATTGCTTTAAAAAACAGTGATTATATTCACATAAGGGACTGTAAATTTTGTAATAAAACAGTGATTGATAAATCTGAAGATTTAAACATTTCTACTATTATACAAAACTTACACAAAAAATTTCAGTTAATTATTTTCAAAACTTTTTTAGCAATCGCTGACCCCATTTGATTATTTTCAAAAAATAACATTTCGAGTAAAACGCGTTTTAAAGTGTGACATCTTGTTTAAAGTAATCGCACCTGCTTTTAGTAAAACACTTGTAGTTTTTGTTCTAGTGAACGGAAAATGATAAACTTGGTATTTTTATAACGCTAATAAGATGGCCTATAAAATAAAATCATAAGAAAATTTGTCAATTTTTGGCAAAATTCACAATTTTAGGGTAGTCGGATACCTTAATAAACTGTAAAGATATATTATTTTTGAGACAAAAGAAAATGTTCGATGTATAAATCGTTCGAGAAAATAATACGTAACACAATATACTGAAGATCGTTACCAGATTCCTGGAGTTCAAACACGTATCGTATATCACACCTGCCGTTAGTCTCATGGTTGTGATATTTTTCAACAAAAGCTTTGTCCGTTTTTTTGCTTAGAGTACGATACGGGGGCCCAGTCACGAGTGGGAGAGTGTGACCCTAAACTCACCCCCGCTGCCCTTCGAGGTGTAGGGATAGCAATACATTGGGGAAGTCACAAGTTCTCCGTACGTTTATGAGGATGTATATGCGTGACTTGGGAATGATTCTGGGTTTTCTCCCTGTAACACCCCTCCGTTCTTCCGAAAATAGGTGAAAAATGAATACCTTCTTTATAACACATTCACTCCTGCTCCGAATTCTTTCGATTTTTGAGTTGCTCCGTTGAAAGAAATGACCAAAAAAAGTGCAAGACGAGAAGTGTGTCTTAGGAAGTATGTACACTAAAAACAATACGAATTTTAAGGAAAAATATTTTCAAAAGGGCTTTTTCGCAAAATGTTGGTACGAAAGTTCGTTGTATTTATTTTATAGTCATTACAATTATAATCCATTTTTTTTGGAATTTGTTTTTAAAATTAAAATTTGAAATTGATTAGTTTTTATTTGTCGTGGTTTTTAGAAGATGGCTGCAATGGATTGATGTAACGTCGACACACACACACAACAAAAATATTAAATGCTTTCGCACGAAGTTCGTTATAGTTTTTGAAGTATTTATGACAACAAAACAGTTGCGAAATAGCAATTTTATATTCAAAGTTTCAAATGGACTACTCGAGATAATTAATGTGGCATATATTTTGAGCGGTACTGTCAATATTTTATGCGAATACGAATAGCATACTTCAAAATTTATTCAAATAAATGAGTAAAATTTAGCATTCGAATATATTGTGAAATGAAGAGAGGCCAGTTGTTACAAGATCACAGTGCTTAAAAGTATTTAAAAAGAGAAAATTTTTGCGTTTTAAATCAGTTTTTGAATCTATTTGTGATTCAGCAGCTTATGAAAATTTAAAGCATATGTGTGTCTTGAAAACAAAGTAAGCTATAACAATCTGCTTGAATTAAAAAAAAAAACCGAATCTCTCGCATGAAATTTTTTATGTCGTCTATATCCATCACTCTTAATATTTTAAATCCAAGCAAATTTCCTAAATGGATTCGACTTTTTATAATTGTGCTACAACCCTTATCACTTGATGAATCACATCAATGAAACAAATTAGGAAAAATTTTACGCATCTATATTATATTATATACAAATGTTATTTCTTCCAATAACAGTTGTTCTGGCCTAATCAGAGAAGTAATCTAAGAAAAACAAAGTAATGTAAATATAATCTGATAACACAGTAAAATAAAGAGAGCTACCAACGCTTTTAAAATTATTTCAATCGATCGTATCTAAAAAGTCTTGTCTTTTTTAAAATTCAAGTCTTTTATTCTATTTTATTTGTATATATAGGGCGCGATATAATTTAAATTTCAAAAAGCAATATAATTTTCCTCTAAAATTGTAGCTACAGGTTTTCTTTAAAAATGTAAAAACAATAAAAACCCTCTCCGATTAGAATCTAAGATTTTGAATCCTTTGTGTAGGGGGGAGGGGGGGGGAGCGTATCGAAATTCAATTTCAGACAACACAATCTGTGGGGAAATACATTTGAAGTATTATAATTCGGAGAAAAAAACTCCATGACTAAATCAAAGGACCATCAAAGGACAGCTTCAACGGCCGGAAACGCTCCACACAATTCAATGAATACGAGAAACGTTCTTGAGTGTTCTTGACACCACTGATGATGACCCCTGTTCTCCCAATCAAGGATTCACCGCACGCTCTTCTCGCGGTAGATGAAGATATCAAATGAAGACGACTTCCCTTGTCTTTATTTCGGGCTATATATCTATAAAAAAAAATCAGAACGTCATTTTTTATACCCAATCGTCCTTATCGGCGAAAATTGGTCTAAAAGTACTTTTTAGTTGCTTCTTAGCTGCTAACTCTATTAACTTTTCCTTTACTTTAAGTTCAAGTCTTATAATTTATGGATTCATTGTCAGATGTTTTTGACTTTTATTAGTACAGTGATTTCTTGTACCTTTGCTTATGTCAGCATAATGGGAAATGCTATGTAGATTATCCTAAAATATATTTGTCATAAGCAAACACTTTAATCCGTGTTTTACCTTTTGGCAAATGTAGACGGAAACTGATTATCGTAATATTAGTAACAACTTTATATAAAACAAGTAATATAAAAAAAATTAAGTCAATTCCTACTTAGGTCAACAAATTTTTTTTATTTTAGTTATTTTTTTATCAAATAGTTATTAATATACAAATAAGTATATACATATATGACAGAATCGAAATATTAAGTGACAAAATAGAGAAAGCGATTTTCCATTTTCCTTTCTATATAGGGTGTTAGACAATTTTTTTTTGTTTGTTAAAGTTCATTCAATAATTAAATTTAATTCTAATAGAAAAAGAATTCACATTCTCAGAAATTAGGCCAACCCAGGTGGGGTTCAAACCCACGGCCTTTGGATTAGAAGTCCAACGCTCTATCCATTGCGCTACAGGGACACAGCGAACGAGTTTCCTTTCTATATATGCTGTTGGACTAATATTTTTATTATTTATTCATTTTTAATTAAATTAATTAATACAATTTTTCAAACATTAATTAATTAACATCAAGTGTCACCTACTACAAGTTTTAAAAAATGTATTTGAACTTGAATGGATAAATAGAAAGTATTTCAATAACGATTGAAAATTTGAACATGATGTATATATGGAGAGTAGGCTAATAGTAGGAATTGAACGAATGGAAATATAGATTATTATGGCTAATATAATGAAGTGTAATATTAATCGTTTGCCATAGATACGCATTACTATTAACTATTTACCATTGTTAATGATGCTCTATATGTTACTTTCACAAAAATTGTTTAATTTTCCATCTATTCGCAATGTCAACTTGATCGAGAGAATAAATTAAAGCTTTTTGGTTGAAATAACAGCATCCTATTTCAAGGTTGTTATGAAGTAAACATAGAGAGAGAGCCAATTTATTTCGAGAAGTTAAACGACTTCTAATGCAAGGTAATTTGCAGCGTAAATGAGAAGTTGATGGTCGTAAACCCTAGTAAATTAATAGGAAAGACGAAGCAACTACTGCGAGAGAACAATTAATAAATTGTTGGTAAAATTGGAGCAAAATGGAAACATTGAAAGCTTAATATTGTCTTTCTGAAACTGCTTCAAAAACACGTAAAAACGTTGTAAAAAAATCCAAATGCTAACACTCTTAATTTTTTTTTAATTATAACATTTTTATACTTCTGGTATTTGAGAATAATGTCAAACATTTCTGTTTGCTTAAAATGAAAATGAGCTTGGATTTTTAATGCACAGAAATTAAAACTTCCAAAAATTTGTTGAAAACTTAAGGGGGGGGGGGAATACACGCGCGCGCGCGTATGTGTTGCATATGAAATATGTTATGTGGGCATTCATTATCACTTTTCAGTACAAATTCATTAAAATTTAACAAAATTTCAAAGATATTGGCTTATATTAAGCATATACATATTAGCTTCGTCATGAATGCTGTTAATTTAAATTATAAAGACAAATTTCAAATTCTTCATATACTTTAAGAGATGGCAAAAGATTTTTAAGTACCATAAATACAATATTACATATCTACTCTAAAATAAAACGATTAAAAATTCCCTTTCTATTCTGAATATCAAAATAAAAATCTTGACATAAGCATGCGAGTAAAACGACCGTTGAAGAGCTAGTGGGTGTAAACTGGTTCTTATTGAAGCACGGTTCCCTTATGTCGTTGTCTGATTGGTGGGTTATCATTCATAATAATGCTTCTTGATATATTTTTTATACAAGCCAATAATACTCTGTTAACGTGACCTAAATGTTATTAACGTCACTATTTACTTACGTGTATCGTAAGCAAAATTCTATTTCCTTTAGATCTTGGTTTATTCGTAAGAAAAATATCAATACTGATATTAGTATTAAATACATATGCTTATTAAAAATGAATTTGTTTATTATGGTAAGAAATCATATATATTCAGTTTAAAATCTGTCTAAATTTAAACAACTTTTAGCATTTAAAAATGTACATATTTCTACAATTGTAATTACACCATGATTTTTTTAAAGTTCTATTCGAGTTTTTAGAAGTGGGTACTTTTAGAATTTTTTCCGTGATTTTATTCGGGCTATAGAATAATGGATGTTTATCAATTCCTTCTTTTTTTTTCAATACGACTTAGAGGTAATATAATTTTGAGTAAAACACACATTAAATATTCAGTTTTGGGGGGGGGGGAGTTATCTCGTGAAGAATTGCAATTCTGTATATTTGACAACGGTTAAATGTAGATAATTGACAATATCGATTTTATGATTCTCGTTTCGAAGATAATCGTTAGGGACGAGTTAGGATTGTTACTAGCTCTAATGATCGTTACATTGTAAGTAAATTGACTTTGAAAGCTATTAAGATTTGCAGAAATTGATAGGTCTCGTATTACATAAAGAGATGGTTCAGTTTATCAGTGTGTATAATTCTATTCACGGAACAAAATTATTTCTGCTACTAAATTTATCTTTCTGTGACTATTGATAGAATAAATAAAAATTGCATTTGTGTCGTTAGAATAAAAATACATGTAGAAATTACTTGAAAAACTGATAAATATATCATCGAGTTTCGATAAAGAAATCTATAAGCGAACAAATTATTCTATATACTGCTGAAATTTTTAATATTTTTTATATAGAACAAACCTGAAATCTGTTTTTCAAAATGTATTAAGTGGTGGTTTTTTGAATATTTTCTGAGCATTATAGCTCTGAATATTTTAAATTTTATTTTTTAATCTCGCAAGTTGTTTTAATCATATGAAAACGCTGTGAATGAAATTAATGATCTATTATCGTAGTCATCAAATACATTGAAGATCAGATTAAGGTTTAAAAACAGTTTACCAGGATGCATGAAATCTCATTTTAAAACAATAAATTGATTTTCATGTTATTAAATATGAAATTTTTAATCCCCTTTCAAGATGTAAATGGTTTTTCAGAGACATTATTGTGACTAGAAATAAAAGAAAATGTTTCCTCTTGAAAATAAATTATGACTGAAGATGCTTTAAGAAACAGCTGCATCTTCTGTTTCTTTCAAGAGCTAAGAAATATTGACAGAAAATGACGTAAAATTTAGACTAATTGGTCTTTTTAAAGATATAATTTACTGAAATTGAAGAAATAAAGTGAAAGAACACGCTCAGATGTCGTTTAAGTGAAAAGGGGGAAAAAATCCCTCTTCCTATCTTAAAATCTCATCTATATATATAAATTTATCTATTATATAATTTTGAAGCGTTCGACAAGTTCTAAATGAAATTGATCGCAGTAGATATAAATGCAACATACAGGATGTCTTTCTATGAAGTCAATTTGAGGTATTCATCTAGACTTTTCTTTGAAATGGGGAATTCTCAAGAATCCAGGGAAGCGAAGGTAAAAAAAGACGAAGACTCCCCGCAGATAAGATCACACATTGGACTTGATGCACTTCGGCAAAGTTCTAAATGGATTTTGAGTAGACATCAAGAACTGTAATGAATCTTGCTCAGACTGCATATGCTAGAGACCATTTATCAATTTCAGTCATTCTTGGAACACGACAGACAGGTGTTGCTTTTTTTTTTAAACATTTTTTCCCGCTTTCCATCCGGGCGCCTTTTCTTTTGTCAAAAACATCGACTTCAGATGCACCAGGTGCACTTATAAACACCTTTTTGTAACCATAATCCTTCAGATGCCCCGGGCTAAGCATAAGAGTCACACCCCCGCTGAATGAGTGAAGCACTATGAATACAAGAAACAAATTACGTGTTCAGCTTGATCTGATCATAATATATTCGCTAACTAAGAATTATATTTCTATTGAGGGAATTTATAGTTTTAAATCAGTTACACATCAGGGGTCTTCAAACTTTTTCAACTCATGGAACCCCTAGAACAAGGTCTTTTCGTGGAACCCCTAGAAATTAGAAAGTAGTTTCGCGGAACCTATTCAGCACACACACACTAAAAAAAAGAATATATCTTAAAATAATATTTAAAATATATCAGCAATAGATCGATGTAAAGGCATTGAAAAAGTATTACATTTAAAATTTAAAGAATGTGATCTACTTTTAATATAATTTATTCATTGACAATATTATTCTATGGCCAAAGTGTCGTCTACCCTTGCATTATGTTTAGTAATTTGGATTAGCAGTGCTGGTTTATCCATTGGGCGCTTGGGGTGGGCGTACAAGAGCTTGGAAGGGCCCGGATAAGCTGGACTTAACCATATTTTCTGGTTTTAAATTTCGATCCTCCAGTGCCAAGGGTGGCCAGTAGATCTTCTGCTCCTATGGCCCGAAATGAGAAATCTTCCCTGGGGATTTGTACTTGCATTTTTTTCACACAAACTGTCGAAGTTGAGGCCTTTTGAGATGAACTGCAATCGCATACATACTCTCCGTATCATTTGTTTCTATACTTTGTTTTTGTAGCCACTCAGTTAAGAAATATTTTTCACTTATACACATTATTTTGAATGGCATTTAAACGTTTATAGCCGTGTGAGCAATATTGTGTATTTTGCATGCATTTGCAACATAAAATTTAGGAGTGTTCTTTGCTTTAATTTAGATTTTTAAGATTAAATATGTTGATAAGTTGTTCCCTCTCCCTTATTGTAGGTGTTTTTTTCACAAATACAAAGAGGTGCATTTTCCATTAGAAAACTATTTAGATTTGCAAGACATTGTAAGGACGTTATAAACAATAAAATATCCACAATCTAGTCAGTAATATATACATATAAAGATATAAAACTTTTTAATATTCTTTTATATTATAATAAAAGTATTGCAAAATAAAGTTACTATGTATAAATAAAATTTTCAGTTTTTTAATTATAGGGATAAGCTTTAAATTTTTGGGGGCATACAAACTTCATTGAGAACGTGAATTCATTTTGCATACACATTTATAAGTTTCTTTTCGATTTTTTTAAATTTGACTCGTGGAACCCCTGGGTATGACTTGCGGATACCCAGGGTTCCGTGGAACACAGTTTGAAGATTACTGAGTTACATGATAGCAAAGAGTTTCACAAAAACTGAATAAATATGGCGAAAGGTAATTGCTCTGTCCAATTTCTAGTGGATTAAAATCATTCAATTTTTCGCTTATGCCCAAAACTTTTTGTAAACTAGTATGTTTGAGTTGAAATTTAAAAACAAAATTACTATCAAAAATTAAAAATAAAATTTAATAAAATCCATCTATTATGAAGAAAACATCGAAGATGAAATGCATGAAATCTATTTGTCAATTTTTGAGGAATAAACTAAGAACAAAAAATATTTAATTATATATAAATACTAGTCAGTTATTACCAAAAATTTAATTTTTTCAATATTAGTGTGAAACAAATTTCTTTATTACAAGTTTATCCAAAAATCTTTCAAAATTTT